AAAAAGACCTATATACTGCCTATAGGAAACTCACCTCAGACATGAAGAGACATGAAGACACATACAAAATGAAAGTGAAGGGATAGAAAAACATTTACCATGCAAATGGACATTTAAAAAAAAAAAAAAAAAGGCCAGGGTAGCAATACTTGTATCAGACTAAACAGATTTTAAAACAAAGACTGTAACAAGAGATAAAGAAGGGCATTACAAAATGATAAAGGGCTCACTCCAACAAAAAGATATAACAACTGTAAATATCTCTGCACCCAACACTGAAGCACCTGAACACATCAAACAAATATTACTGAATACAAAGGGAGAAATTAATGGCAATACAATAATAGTAGGGGACTTTAACACCCAATCTACATCATTGGATGTAAGGAAAATCAATAAGGAAACAGTGTCTTTGAATGACACATTAGAGCAAATGAACTTAACAGATATATACAGAACATTCCATCCAAAACCAACAGATGACACATTCCTTTCAAGTAAACATGTGACATTCTCCAGAACAGATCACATGTTAGGCCATAAAACAAGTCTCAATAAATGTAAGAAGACGAAATCACACCATGCATCTTTGCTGACCACAGCGGTATGAAACAAGAAATCAATCACAAGAAAAAAACTGGACAAAACACAAACATGTGGAGGCTAAACAATACTAAACAACCAATGGTCAGTGAAGAAATCAAAGAAGAAATAAAAAAATACAGGGAGACAAATGACCTACATACAAATGGTCCAAAATTGTGAAAACAGTTCTAAGAGGGAAATATACAGCAATATGTACTTACTTCAAGAAGCAAGAAAAAGCTCAAATAAACAATCTAACTTTACACACCTAAATGAACAAGAAAAAGAACAAACCAACCCATGGTGAGTAGAAGGAAAGAGAAAATAAAGATCAGATCAGAAATAAATGACACAGAGGGTGCCTGGGTGGCTCAGTTGGTTGGGCGACTGCCTTCGGCTCAGGTCGTGGTCCTGGAGTCTCGGGATCGAGTCCCGCGTTGAGCTCCCTGCTCAGCGGGTAGTCTGCTTCTCCCTCTGACCTCCTCCCTCTCATGCTCTCTGTCGCTCATGCTCTCTGTCTCTCATGCTCTCTGTCTCTCTCAAATAAATAAATAAAATCTTAAAAAAAAAATTAAAAAAAAAAAGAAAGAAGTGACACAGAGACCAAAAATAAATAACCAAATATAGAAAAATAAATGAAAGCCGGCGCCCGGAGAAGCAGGAGGAGAGGTCGGAGCCATCTCCACGAGCCCTTAGAGACCGAGTCCCTGGCAGCAGTGGCGGTGGCGGGGGGAGCGCACCGGCAGATTCATTCCACCACTTACAAGCTGAAAATGGTAGGCCACGGGAAGTCTTACTGGTTTCAGGTAGAAACAACAGTTGAAGATGTCCAGCAAAAAGGCAAGCACCAACAACATCGCCCAGGCCAGAAGGACGGTGCAACAGTTGAGGATGGAAGCCTCCATCGAGAGAATAAAGGTTTCAGAGGCGTCAGCGGACCTCATGTCCTACTGTGAGGAGCACGCCAGAAGCGACCCTTTGCTGATAGGGATACTGACCTCAGAAAACCCTTTCAAGGATAAAGAAACTTGCATCATCTTATAGAGGAACAGTGAAATGGCTCCTCGCCTCTTCTCAACAAAGCAAATTATGAGCAGCTCCTTGGAAGAAATTTACCTTCAGCTTATTTGGTAACCACTGCTAATAAAGCTTATACTCTAACTTGGGGAAAAAAAAAAAAAGAAAAAAAAGAAATGAAACCAAGAGCTGGTTCTTTGAAAAGATAAACAAAATTGATAAACCCTTAGCCAGACTCATCAAAAAAAAAAAAAAAAGAGAGAGAGAGAGAAAGGACCCAAATAAATAGAGAAGGAACAACTGACACCACAGAAATACAAAGGTTTATAGGAGAATACTATGAAAAATTATATGCCAACAAATTGGACAACCTAGAAGAAATGAATAAATTCCTAGAAACATACAATCTTCCAAAACTAAATCAGGAAGAAATAGAAAATCTGAACAAACCAATTACTAGTAACAAAATTGAATTGGTAATCAAAGAACTACCAAAAATTAATAATCCAGGACCAGATGTATTCATAGGTGAATTCTACCAAACATTTAAAGAAAGAGTTAGTACCCATTCTTCTCAAACTATTCCAAAAAATGGAAGAGGAAGGAAAGCTTCTAAATACATTCTATGACACTAAAATTACCCTGATACCAAAACCAGACAAAGACACCATAAAAGGGAAAACTACAGGGCAATATCCAACAATACATTCAATGGATCACTCACCGTGATCAAGTGGAATTTATTCCAGGGATGCAAGGATAATTTAATATTTGCAAATCAATCCACACAATACAACCCATTAACAAAATGAAGGATAAAAATCATGATCATCTCAATAGATGCAGAAAAAGCATTTGACAAAATTCAACATTTGTTCATGATAAAGACTCTCAAAATAGTAGGTTTAGAGGGAATATACCTCAACATAATAAAGACCACATATGAAAAACACAGCAAACATCATACTCAATGGTGAAAAACTGAGAGCTTTCCCTCTAAGATCAGGAACAAGACAAGGATGCCCACCTCTCACCACTTTTATTCAACACAGTACTGGAAGTTGAAGCCATAGCACTCAGACAAGAAAAAGAAGTAAGAGGCATCCATATTGATAAAGAAGAAGTTAAACTGCCATTATCTGCAGATGAAATGATACTATACGTAGAAAACGCTAAAGATTCCACCAAAAAAACTATTAGAAGTGATAAATGAATTCAGTAAAGTTGCAGGATACAAAATGAATACCCAGAAATTAATAGTAGCATAGGGAATATAGTCAGATATTATAGCATTGTTGGGTGACTGATGGTAGCTACATTTGGGGTGAACATAGCATAACACAAAGAGAAGTTGAATCACTATGTTGTACACCTGAAACTATATAACATTGTGTCAACTATACTCAAGTAAAAAAATTAAAAAGAAAAAAAAATTGCCCCAAGACCCCTAATCAGAGTTACTGCAAAGTACATTTAAAACAAAGGTACTGACCAACAGAGATGATCATGTATAACAATGTGTTCTTACCAATAGTACCAGACTTCGTTACATAGTGTCCTTAAATTTGGAGCTATTCCACAGAGAATCCCCAAATTTGCAAATCCTTCCCTCTTCAAGCTTACAGATCCCATGTTTTTAGATCACCAAGGATGGTAAATGAAATACCTCTCAGGCTAGAGTTCCTTATTTGGTAGGATTCCTTGGTCACTTGTTTTCTTCCCTGGGCTAATGGATTTGGTTTTATCGTAATGTTTATTTTTATACACATGCCCAAAGGCCTCCTACTTTTTAGAAACCTAATAAATACTTCATGATAACTAAATTTGTTAAGATAACACAAAAGATTTTGTCTATTACTTAAGAAGTACATGGTTTCAATTAAATAAGCAGTCCAGTGCATAGTTCAAAAAAATTATAAAAGATTTGAATATCAAATTTGGATACTTTTTTGTAAAAAGCAAATATAAAGCCTATGGCCTTTTAAATGGCAAGTTTGTGCAACATAAGCCTGTTCTTCTAAATGAAACTCTGTAATTGCACAGTTAAACTTCAAGGTGCACTTTGCGTTTTTTACAATATGTAAGTTGAAAAGATTATCGAGTTAAACCAGCCCGTATCTTGCCTTTTCAATACATAACTTTGTGCTATGTCCTGTCCTATACACACTCCAAGTAGTTCTAGTCATGAGCTTAATGTAAATACTGCAAGTGTCATTGCACTGAACTTCTGACTACATCTCTGTCAAAATGAGAGCCTAAGATGTATTTTACAAAGTTTCAGTTATAAAAATAACAGACTCTTGAGATGGATTTCTATCAGTTGAAGGCAACCATTAATTTTTTGAAATCCCTCCATTCCATTATATTGTTTTTGAAAAGCCAGCAAGTAGAAAAACAGACCAATCCTGAAGAACAAACTGATGAGCCAACACTAGCATGCTAAAGCAAATCAAGCTAATGTGAAGGAAAGCATTCCAAATAAAAACAGATGGTAGTGTAGGGCCTCAACCCGGTTCCCTCTTATCTCAGAGTGAGCCTCATTGTCTGCTCCTTATTGTTTTTAAAGATGTACAATCTAGCAGGCAAAAAAAAAAAAAATGGCTTGAAAATTAATAAGCTAGAAACTACTGTACAAGCTTTGGCTAATTTGAGGTATAAACTCTGGCACTTAACCTTTCTCATCCTTAATTTTGAAAGTCAGGGAATTCCACTTTACTGGCATATTTTAGAGAAACTAGTCAGTTAACTTTCGGTAAATCACTTTGATCACTTCAAAGAGGCTATAGAAAGAGATTACTAAATCATCATGAAACTTTATTTTGGAAAAACATAGAAATACATAGAAAATTGTAATTCTAGAACTGAAATGAGTTTGTCTCAAAATAGAGTCTCCTGCTTTATCCTATAAGAACTTGTTCTCAGAAATCAGGAGTTGATCTAAATAATTCTCTCGCTTTTTCTACATTACAGAACACTATAAATAGAAAAGCTCTTAAATGTTTTTATGGGGAGAATGAGAACAATGTCTGAATAATCACACCTATCCCTGACATACATTAAAAATAAAAGTCATTCCACTTAAAATATTTTTAGATTTCCCAAGCCTCTAAGATGGTGCACATTTCCTGGAATATCGTCTTCATGCGAAGCACTGTGTTGTGGTCTAGCCCACTGGTTCTCAATTCTGTTGGGCCTAATACCCCTATTTTATAAACAATACCTTCAAACATTTGCTTTATAAGCTTGAAAAAATCCACAGGTAATAAATTGCACCTACACACGTAATTTCAAATAAAAATAGAGGATAATGCCTAAACTTTAGTACAAGGAAAATAACTTGTTATAAAATACTACATAACTTCAACAAATATATGGTCACAACTACACCAAAAAATATAATGATGAAGTCAAGTGCTTGCAGTTACAGAGAGAATCACTATGGATATGAAAACTGTATCAGCTGATGCAGGTGTGCTATATTTGTAACTCAAATACCATGAACGGCAATACTTTTAGTGATGTGATCTTCTAAAACGGTCAGGGGAGTAGGCAGAATAATACCCCTACACAAAGATGTCAGAGAGTCTGTGAATATGTTACTCTGCATGACAAAAGAAACTTTGCAGATGTGACTAAACGAAGGACCTTAAGAAGTGGAGATTAGGGGCACCTGGGTGGCTCAGTTGGTTAAGCGACTGCCTTCGGCTCAGGTCATGATCCTGGAGTCCC